AATTGCCACCTTCGAGAAATTTCTGAGAAATTACGAGGTTACATCGCAGAACGGGAGCACATACACATGCACGCACAGACACACACATGCACACACGCACGCACGCACAGACACACACATTCACGCACGCACGCACGCACGCACGCACGCACACACACACACACACACACAGAGGAAGGAGGGAGGGAGGGAGGGGGGAGGGAGAGAGAGTGAGATGGATTATAACCATGTGGGGCCGTTATTTATGAGTGCTTATCTGAAGGGGGGGGGGCGATTTTGGCAAACAGCTGGCACGAATTAACGCTGCTGCCAGGGCATTTGATTGTACGCGCGGGTAGTGGCTGGGCAGTTACGCATGAAATAATCCACTAGATGGCGTCAGCATGTCATACATAAACCAAATGGGTTTATTTACAGGAAACAGCCATAAATCTTTCTGAAAATGTCAGACCCAAAAAATTCATCGCAGGTCGACAACTACCTTGGTACTGATGTGTACCAAATATGGTTGAAATCGGTCCATTACTTTTCGAGATCTGCGCTCAAGGCTGGTGTCGGACAGACAGACAGACAGAGAGACAGACAGCGTGATTCCAGTATACCCCCCCTAACTTCGTTGGCGGGGAGTATAATAATATTCATTTTGTTTCATCTATATTACTATGAGACATGAGGGACTACATTAACCACATTCTCAATGCTATGCCATATCACATTTAGCATGAAATTCGGATTAATAAAGCTACCGACACATTGGATTATTTTTGTCGCAATCACAGTGATCAGCAGTAATTTAAAAATCACTCCACAATATCTGCCATGTTCGATACTAACTAAAACCAGTGATCGAATATGTTGCTGATCTCTGTGGTGGGCGATGCAAACCGTCTATAGTGTGTGACGGGGTCCAGGCAAGTTACTTGGATGGCCCTAGTAAGAGACGGTAACCAATGCGATATTTTGTGTGATAACTAGAAGCTAGAATGTTGTCATACCCATTCAGTAGTGTGTACTCTTCATCACTGACATCCATGAGCTCGTTAGCATTGACATGATGCAATACTGTTCCATTCGGCAGTAGTAAGATAGATTGAACAGGGAAGCTGTAGACCTCAAGCAGCTGAGAAGCCACACTGGATAGGTCAGAATCTTCTCCAGCCAACATCTGCTAGAAAATTACACATGTACGGATGATTATGAAAGCAGTAAAATTAGTAATGAATAAGCGTATTTGACAAATGCGCATGGACAAATCTCTTATTCTGCTCAGCCTCACTATCTAATGTTATAGAAGTGGCCCACTTCTTGCAATGTAACATAACAGAGACAAGATATACAACTTTGTACATACGGAATGAAGGCTCACATGTAGAGATGCAAATATTCTGAAGCAGAATCTAGAGGACCACATGTGCAGGTGCAAGTGTTATAAGAATTTATCATACATACAGGGAGCAGAACAGTAATGCAAGCAATACCTTGAGGTCTGCCACGAGAGACCAGGAGGAGACATAGTAGGATTGCAGGAGAGAGATAACGGGCGGACTCGCGAGTGCTCCATCTCGCAGGGCCCGCCCTGACCCTCAGCAAGACTGGTCATCCAGGGCACCCCACAGCACGATGCTGTGTACCAGCTTCCTCTCTGCTTCAGCTCGCTTCAGTGCCTCAGATAGCGGGTGGTACGGCACCTGTTGTCAGTGACAACCAAGGACAACGATATGACATAATAGTGATATAGGTATCCCAATAATGCAGGATGGTATAGCACAGCCCAGTTTTCAATGAACGTGTTTCTATAAAAAGCAATTTAGGCCCAAACATGGTTTTCAGAGCTGTTTATTTATTAACATAGACAAAAAAAGCTGGATGCTGGTATTGTCATATTGAAAATTAGTCAAAATTTTTTCATTGATCAACAGGTCTACAATCAATGATTTGAATCAACCAATTAATGATTGATGATAATCAGTAGATCAATGTCATAGATTCTCTTACTTAAACACATTTCTTTCGATCAATTATTCAGTAGTTTGCATTAGGCCATCACTATGAGCAACTAACTGAATCCAAAGTCAAACCTGTATATAAGGATTATTTTAAAAGGAAACTTTAGAAGTGCACTTCATAGACCTGTAGGTGTTTGTTCTATAGAGGTTGTTTCCTTGTATAATTGCCACTAAATGGAAATGCCAAGTCTCATTTATAGACAGGTGTCTATTCTAAAGAGGCATCCATTAACCAGGCATGAGACAGACAAATGCTGAAAAGGAGGAGGGGGGACTTCTATGGGGGTCTGTTTTTGAAAATTATAAACTCTGAGATGCAATCTAGAGCCATTTCAGGGTACTCCAATAGCCCACAACTAGCAACACTTTTTGGTGGAAAAGGAAAAAATTATGTAAAATTTACCTACTGAAATATTTTGATGGGAACTGGGGAATTCCGTCTGTGTTGAGTGTGTCCGAAGTAAATGTATTTTGTAGACATACAAGCTCTTACGTAGGGAAGCTTTTATTTAGCTACACCCTGTATAAAATGTATATAGTTTTTCCAAACGTTAAAAACAATATGACACGGTTAAACCTGAGTGGAGCGACGAGGCTGTACCGCTGTTTGCATGACTAGTAAGTGCTTTGCAGCTACAGTGACTTATGTGTGTTTTAACTTGAGACAATTATTATTATTTACTGTATAATTCAACATGATATATTACCTAAATCTTCATAATATTATTTTATTGTTTACATCCAAACGTGAAATGCGCGGGGATGTGAGAATTACTCCACAACCTAGCGTACGTGAAGAGTGAGCGTGCTGCACGACACGTGCACGTAAATAAACCCTGGCCAACGCAATGTAAGGTTCGCTACCACTGGCCAAAAGTAAGCTCCACCCACTTCTTATCGATTTTTGGTATGCCAAAGCTGCTACTGGATTCAGGAACCTGTGCTAACCTGTGCGTTCAAACATCCCACGAACGTTTCTTGAATGCCAACTAAAGTTTGGCCGTACCCTGCTTTTATCATTATGTTAGCAAGCATACGGATACTCTCCACGTTGTGCATTAAATTTCATCGATTTTTCGTTTTCAACTTTATTCGATGGCTAACACTATGTGCCATCTGTGTACATGCTCATTTCGCCATATAACGGTACATGTGAACTGTCAGAGCGTTTTTGCTTGCCCGCGTACATGTGTAGTAAGCAGCGGCTGACGTCATTATGACGTCAGAGACATGATACAACCACAATATTAACTAAGCCAGTATCATTCAGTGTCAACCCTGCTACAGCTGTCATTACATGTATTCATGTACATTAATGTACATCTGCTAGTGATCCAACAAGTATCCCACACCCAAAATAGTTCTAACACCTCGCAACACACCTTACTGTAGTGCAGTACACCGCTGGCGTTTGTTGACATATTAGCTTTGTGATGTCAGGATGAGCAGAGTTCGCGCGTTCTGCGATGGTAACCTCAGAATTTCTCAGAATTTCTCAAGGTGCATGGAACATTTTACCAATTTAGTGGTGTCAGTTAGTCATGGAAATGTTGCAGTAAGTACTAACAATAGATATATCACATACGTTCACCCATTTTGCACAAAACCCTCATTTCTCCGTTTCGATTTCTGACATAGTAGCCGATGTATAAATGGATATTTCTCTGTGATTACAACTCGGATTAATCTAATTTTACACTCGTTTTAATGGTAACATATTGTGGTAAAGAAGTGCGTCAGGGATTGTTATTAAGTGCCGTACTTTATTAGTTATGCCTCTTTATTCGCTAAAATTTTCTATTTTAACACAACTTGATTTTTAAGCAGTTTTTTCGAGTTTTCTCGGTAAATATGAAAATTAAAGAAAAATCCTGACGCACTATTTTGGTCCATATTGTGCTTAACATGTGGCAAAAATTTTGTATTCTCACTCTTTCTGGTAGTTGAGAAATATCCAAAATACCATTTTTACATAAAAATTCAAAATTTGTATGGTAACATAATTAGGTGCTGGAAATTTCATGAAATTTTTTGGCTTGAGCATAGAGATATATCTCCTCTATAAATAAAACAAGTGATTGATTCGATTCATTCGCCAATAAACGTTTAATCTTTACTAGAGCAATACCCGTGCACAACGTGGAGAGTATCCTTAAGACAATGATACGAGTAGAAGCGCTCCGGATAGTTACCGAGTCACAGTGTGTTCACATGTACGCGATCGTCAGAGACCACGAAGGTATTCTTACACCCCACCCCCCTCGAATTTACACTGATCTCAGAAATGATCTCTGGAGTTCTAAAATGGCCTGAAATCCGCTGAACGACGGAAATGTCTCATGCCTGATTAACACAGATTTAACTGCGACAGTATTTCTCTATCATTGACTTTTTACCTTTTTAAAATGGTACATTTTTTTCTCCAAAATTCTCCGGGCTTGTTCTTCAGACATTTCTCTCTGCCATTGAATATCACTGAGTTGAATTGACTGCTCTGCTGGCGCCACCTCTACAAAGCGCTTGTCAATGACCTGGCTTCCAATGTTCATGCTCCCAGGCACAGAGGGTGCGGTCGACTGAAGCTCCATCTGTGGCATGTAACCAATGTCCACTTCGGCGTTTTCGGATTCGTTCTGGCCGTTGAGCCACTCCATGTCTAATTAGAAAAAAAAACAAGAAGGAAACCAACTTAGGGTAGTTATTTTCTTGTGCCAAAGTTTAATAAAACTGTGTAAATATGTGGCAAGATAAATCTTTCTAATTGAAATTGAATTTTGGTAGTTTTTGCCGTGAAACTGCAGTATTTTATAACCTGCACAGGTTTGCCCTTTACTAGCTAGGGCATTTCGGTCACTTCTTGAAAGTGAATAAAACAAAGCATTGCTACGTATATATCACTAGGCATGGCTGCCACATCAAACGATGTTATTACATCAAAATGTAGTACACATGTCATGAAATGGATCACCTGCAATGACAGACAATATTCACTTTGTAAAGAGATGCTTACCGACATTCAGCTTTCTGTCAGAGGGCACCTGCAGATAGAATAATATCACGCCAGAAGAGTCTCGTCGCAGGACAATGCGACCAGAGAACTGGGCGGGGGTGAACCACAATGGGTAGTAGGGCGGGGCATTTAGCTGAAACTCTGCATGAATCCTGCAAGAGATGCATGAAGCATAGAGTGAAATTTGAATCCTGCAAGCAGAGTCGTGCATTATCCATGTATGTGCACTAAATCCATTGGATCAAGTAAAAAATGAATTCTGCCATCACAGCCAAATATTCAACTCTGCAAGAATAGTTATAATTAAATCATTCAGGCATCGACTTAAACATTAATCAGCAGGCAAAGAATCAAGTATGATCCTGAAAAAATTGTATCAAGTGACAACTCCCATACACAAGCCCTTATTCTCAGATCACAGAGGAAATTGCAGATGTAGATGCAGAGCAATGACTGAACCCTGCAATCACTCACCTAAAAACGACATCTAAATAATCTGCATTTTCTGCTCGCACGATGGCAGTAGATCCTTGAGGGCCGAACCGTGTGTAGAGAAACACTTGTGGATGAAACATTGACAGCAGCTGGTGCAGTGTAACCTACAAATGCAATCTCGCATTGACTGGATATGTATGAAATAATGAAATAAACAAAAACACTCACAAATCGAATTAAGGTATATTATTAGTTACTTCAATATATACTTGATTGGCGATAAACACATGAGTTTGTTTAAAGATTATAGCCTGTGTTTTTTTCCATATACAAGATATATTTATATAAAAACATTTTCATGGTTACTAGGTGTGGCTGCATGAATGCATTAACACGTTCAACGCGAAACACGAGTATACTCGTTCGAACCTGCAAAACGCACGACCGCGAAACACGAGTATACTCGTGGCAAAAAAAATAAAAAAAAAAAAATTATTTGGAACGTTTACTATGTTCTCCTATAGATGGCAGGGGCTATACGCTTAGCAATACTACTAGCGTCACTAGTAGTACCCCAGTAGTAGATGACATAATTTATACAATACATTACTGTTGTTTGGAACGTTATTTTGGGAGTTTTTGGGACTGAGGTAATGTTTTTAGTTCACCTCGCCAAAGGGCGTTTGACCGCCGTGTGTTGTGAAGTTGTTTTTATGTCTGAAAGTCGTGAGTTGTGTTTGATTTGATAGATGACGGGTGATAGATTCCGGTGTTGTTTTGATGTCTGAGAGTAAGTTTATATCTATATTATACTAGCCACTAATTATAAATAATTTTATAGCTAGTTAAACCTGCCAAAAACATTTTGTGTAATAGGTGACTAAGCGGTAAAAACGCGAAAATCTCAGCACAGGGCGGTAGGTGCATTGACAATTGTTAACCCAGGCAGCGTTGAACGTGTTAATGTAGGGACATTTAATGATACACAATTCATGCGTACATGCAGACACTTATAAATAGCTACATATCCAATGACAAATCTTATAACTACCTCTGTGCTATGAACTCGCAGTGGAAAATATCTGTTACTGGACAGCTGCCCAGTGCTAGTCGACGATAGAGAAGATTTCACGATATCCCACACTAGGCCTGTCTCAACATGGTCACCTGGTGGTAGGAACATTGAGAAATATCTAGCTGCTATGTTCCGCCATGGTTTCGTAACAAATCTCCACTCCTTTAGACCTTTTAGAGGATCTAGTTGTCCCTTAAGAAAGAAATACACATTTTCTAATGTTAGTTAATATTTATATGAGTAAAATAAATTAAAGCAATCATTTTAAAATGACTATTGCGAGATTTTTGCTCAGAAAAACGAAATAGCTGAATATAGTCTCACCTGACAGCGAAAATATCACTGATTACACCAACATTAAAAATACTAAGATTTTATGCAGTTATAGCATCGAAAATTGGATATGAACACATCGTAACAGCAATGCATTTTATCGTGTCGCGACAATGCCTAATGGCAGAATTGGTAAACTTGTATTTGTGTCGGTGATGAATTGAAAACAAGTGCGTCCCTGCACCGTGCCTGCACTGTGGGTAGGGCAGATAAGCGCTGGCGCCACAAGCTAATTCATACTTCCTGTTAGTTCAAGATGACAGAAAACGAATGTTTACAAAAACGATTAGTTCGAAACTGGCAGTTTTCGTCGGTGAATACGAAAGTTCTAATACATTTTATTGTTACTCTAGACAATTGCTGTTACTCAAGCAATAACGGTAGGTATCATGAAAGTGGGAAAAACACTGGAAAATTATCGCAATAATCACTTTAAATGACTAGCTTAGTTATAAATGCAAGTATGGTCTAAGGAAAGCACTCAAACCAAATAAAATTTGTGATTTTATCCAAAAAAATAAACATAGAGAAAACTAATAATTTCTGTGTGGATTGAGTTAGCAGAGCTTTAGAACATCATATCAAAAAGGAAAATGCAGACCAGGGTTCTCCCCAGGATGAAATTGAAACAGGGGGAGGGGGGAGGTGAGGGGGAGGGGGAGGGAAAGGGGAAAGGGGGAAGGGGAGGGAAAACTAGGGGGGTCCGGGGGCCTGGTCGAATCACTGGCAGCAAGAACTGGAAGTCCGCACCTGCAGCTACAACACACACGCATCTATTGACTATATATAACAACATTATATATAGTTATATATAACTACTATAACAACTATAGCTACTATAACAACTATAACTACTATAACAACTATATATAACATTGTTATATATATAATATAGTCAATAGATGCGTGTGTACTGTAGCTGCAGGTGCGGACTTGTTCTTGCTGCCAGTGGGTCGAATGGGAATTCTTGCCGAGGTGGCCCACAGGCACTTAAAGCGTTTCAACTGTAAACACACGCCGCCGCCATTGCGCGCACACTGACACATAAATATATATATATAAGTGGCCCCTCAATTTCCAGTAGCAGCAGCGCCTCCAAAGCTGACTCACTCAGCCTGTTCCTCATGTAGCCATTCCCATTAAAAAAAAAAAAATTGTTGTCGTTGCGAACAACTCTAATTGTCTCCCCGTTTGCGCAACGTAGGGAGAAGCTTGCAGACCATAAGAATAATAATTTAACCATGGCACTTACAGGATTCAAGTAGGACCTATTCAGGTCCTTCGTCATTGACGATAGTTGCAATGGTATGAAATATGCACGCACTGTAAGGACTTCATCGGCCAGTGAGATATCCTGAACATACTCGTAAGTTTGCTGAAAAAGAACATACCTGTAAGCTTTAATTTATCAAGTGCTGCAATGAGACACAAATCATGTACTCCTAACTACTACTATGACACTTCAACTTGCTACTAACAAAAGGGTAGTGGAAGGTGGGTAGAGCATGTGTAACACCCATGTCATCATTGAATCACTTGATGTTTGTATGTTGTAACAACCAAGCATATATTTTCTCATGGTTCATGATATATGTGCATAAATTATCTCTACCACTAACTACTTTGTCTTCAATCACTGCTCTGCATTATGTTAATCAGAGCAATGAATATTGTGTTCTATAGAGGATACCATGCATACATCTATGAACATAGTTAAAGGGAGAGTTTACTCTAGGTTCTAGGGTTATTTTCAGCTAATTTAGGTTATAATTACGCTACATAAAAAGTTTCATGGTTCAATCACCATTAGAAATATTTAAAAAAATGTTTTAAAACTAACGACTACAGTTTGATTACAACGACGGTGGCGCCACTCAAAGCGCACGATCTGATAAGTTGCGCAAAACCACTTTCCAGCCAAGGGCTACAGACCGAGGGTGTTTCTTATTTATTCATTTAAAAGCAAAAAGATTGTAATATCATATAAACGACATATAGTTTCAGTTATAATATGGATAAATTTGCCCTAAAATGAATATCGTTTGGTTAAATAGCATTTAGGTATAAATATAATTGCATTGCAATAATAATATATATAGGTATCTGGTAACAAATACGTGTGGGTATAGACGATTTGTTATACAGTAAGTACAGTTGTAACTTGTATGCAGTAAAATCCTAGAGGCTACTGTCCCTTTAAAAAAATAGGGAGCTCTATGTTATTAATCTATGTGCGTGCAATGCCTTCACAAGGATGAGCAATCACAGGAACTAGTGTAGCGTCCTAGTTTTTAACAGAAGAGCAAGTTGACACATCGCTAGGCGTAAATACACTTTCCTACCGGCCAATATGGTGGCATCCGACTCCGAACCCCCTACCGCGCCCCACCTGTACTGTGGCACAGTGTGTATACTGGCGCATTGTATACAGCGGTTACCGCCCCCCCCCCCCGCATACACTGTCACGCTATGAGCGGCAGGAAAGTGTACGTCCTCTGATATCTCGCGAACGAGTTGAGTTACACTTCTAGAAATCCACATACGTATAGACACATGTCTTAGACACATTGCTACACTAAGCCAAGCTGGTCTTTGGAAATTTATGACCAAATTTCCATCACTGTTTCAAAATTCAAGTACGGGTGATTCTCAAAAAAGGCACTCGATCACAAGCTAGATGCGGCACTATTCCCTGTAACAGGTACTGATATTTAAACCTACGGTGATATTCTCTTCTCGAAGCAAATGCGCCAGGGGCTCAAACTCCTCAAGGCTGATGTATCCGTCATTATCTCGATCATATTGCCTAAACAGAGCGAGAGACTCAAGCCGAATATCTACCTGCCGGCTTAGCCTGCTGTCGCTCTGCTGCACGTATACAAAATAACATAAAATGACTACTACAGCAGCAAACAACGAACATGCGAGTAGCCAGCGCATTCGCCCGTCGCCTGAACCCGTGGCTCTGACTGTCCATGACCATGTCCATGGATACTGGCACTGCCAATCTGTCTGCTGATGCACGTTACGTGTGAATGCGACATTTTTCTTTACACTTGCAGATGTGTGGCGATATTTGCAATTGTTAGAGCCGTCACTCATTTCCTAAAACGTCGAAGTGCCGACTATAAAACATATATTATTTACAAAATACGCGTTGCATATGCCTACAGTTTTCAGGCATGTCCGTCGGAAATCAAGGAAATGACGTCAAAACAAGAGTACACGTGCATATAGCAAATACAGGTCTTTTTACACGGTAAAAAATAATTGGTGTATATATAATTATATCTCATTTTTGTAACAATTCTGATTCTATCTAAGTATAGAAAACTATATTTTTATATTTATTTTGGTTTAGTGACTGATAATGTTATTACCTATAAACAACGTTGTTGTCAGGTTTTGCGGGTTTTTGCACCAGGGAGAAATACACATTTTACATACCAGGGTATTTGCTTATTTAGGCTCAAGGGGTCGTTATCGTAACAGGTACTACAGATATGTACCCGAGGTACATATATGTATACACAAAGTGTACCAGACTTGTACCCTAACCCTAACACTAACCCTAACCCTAACTCTAACCCTAACCCTAACCCTATAAACGTACCTCATATAAAAATATAAACATAATACTATAAACAACCTAAAACTACCTCGGGTACATATCTGTAGTACCTGTTACGACAACGACCCTTCGTGCCTTATTTAGCATATGTCATGTTCTATTTTCAATAATGCTGAATAGCCGAGCTCGTACGTCACGGGTGATACGTGTGAAAGGTCGTTGGTTCGAATCCCATCTGTTTATTTTTTATTTTTTTTATTATTTTATTTTTCTGTTTAGGGTTAGGATTAGGGTTAGGGTTAGGGTTTACAATGCGTATACATGTGTACACATGTGTATTATATGGACCCGAGCGATCCCGAAGTTGCTACTACGAGCGACTACCGTTCGGCTATTTCCGGAAAAATGTGTATTTCTCCCAGGTACACGATTCGGTTTTTAGAGCACAATTTTAATACAATCAAGAGCTTATAAAGAAGGAGAGCGTACAACGGTAAAATGCTGAAACCATGTTGCAGTATTAGTCGAATTAATAACTTTCCCCGTGTTATTTTGAGATTCTTGTGGCAGTATTATTTGATCGCTGTCCTTACCTTGTTCATATTAAACCAAACGCATGTCCCTACGTATGCCCATACGCTGAAAGATACATGAGCGGTGAACAAATCTGGTATTTTCGCCTGAACACCACTGGACATTAGATCAGTAATGCGAGCCCACTCTCGAAGTGTGGCCAGTGTGTTGCTTCGGTCGCCCGCTGTGTAGCGCCATAGTAGCGGCTGACTCACGTCATAATACCAGAGTCTTACTATACATCCAGCGTGAGGAGGGGGGGGGCGGGGGGGGGGCGCGCGACGCGGGGGTGGGCATAGGTGCCGGGTCTATCACTATCGGCCAATCCATAACAGACGTCATGCATTCATTCCATTGTTCGAATCTTGACGGAAACAGCGAGGTTTACCGCCAGTATAACACTTCGAGAGACAGTCACAGTAAACTGACTGATCTCGCAGTCAGTCTCTCGCGCGAAAATACCAGATTATCACCGCCTTCATTATCTCAGCATAGCGGCCATCGTAATGTTACATTGCGGTTGTTTATATGAACAAAGTAGGACAGCTGATCAATTATATGCAATGAATCGTCAAAATAAAACGGGGAAAGTTTATTAATTCGACTAATACTGCCAACTATGGGCTTTCAGAATTTTACCGTAATTGTACGCTCCCTTCTTTATATGCTCTTGATACAATGTATATTTTTTTGTTTGTTCACTCCAATATCAAATTACAAAACAGATCGGTTTCTATATTATATTCAACATAATCGCTTTATTAGATTATATTGTAGCACAATTATGTATTTACGAACATCGATTTT